TTAAAATTGCTGCTCTGATTTTTGTAATTACTAAAGTCTGTTGTCAACAGTTTCAGTTACAACATCCAGACAGTGCTGGTAAGGTGTTCCCCTTGTCTGCCCAAAAAAGCATCTTGTTCTTGTCAATGGATAATTAATTTTCCTCATGCATCTAGTCTAGAAAAAACTTCTTTCCTTTGACAGTCCTTACTTTACTTTGGGAGTCAGTATCAAATACAGCTAGATAGCAAATTGAATTTAATTTAGATGACCGCAAATGATTTTATTTTTAACTTTCGATCATTAAGAAATTTGCTAACTTTAGTATTTTAATAGCTAACAAGTGGAAAGAGGCCCTTCCTGCTATTCAGTATTTTGACTGTTTTCCATGTAGCCATAGCCATTGCTGGCAACTGTCTGCTGATCACAGGATGTCATTTTGACAGTGGGAACTACAGGGTAAAGACTACTTTAGCCCTTGCAGAGGTGGCCAAAGTAGGCCTCTCAATAATGTAACAAGGGAGATGCAAGAAACTCTGATTTCATTGTCCTTCTGCCATCACACATGATCTTCAACATTTTGCATTGCTTTCCTCTTAACCTTTGGAACTCTTTATTTCTTCTTTTTAGCAGCAATAATACATCACTCTGGAGACTTGCTGCCTTAGGTGCTTCTCTAAATGAAGGGTGACTGGAAGGGAATTTATAGGAGAACATCAAGAACAAGCGGATATTTCTCAAGTAATTCCTATGAGGGTAATAGGAAAGAACTGAGATAATTGAGCAGAAAATAGAATCCATGTGCAGAGAGTTGCTGCAGAGAGGATGTTGTAATGGGAAATGAACTGACTTTCATTGAAACAAAGGAGATTTAGGCCAGATACTGGAAAACACTTTATTGGGAAGGATATTTGAGCATGGACAGACACCATGACTAAAAGTAGTAGAATTTCTGAAAGTAGCCTTGGGTTATATCAACCTTTCTCAAATATAGTTTAGTTAGCACTGATTTACAACTGGAGAAAATTAATTAGAAGACCCTCCTGTTTTATATGAATCTGATAGTTGTGATTATGAAGATGCAGTGTGTTGATATATCCAAAGAAAAATGTTTATTCCCAAATGATTATATTATACATGCAATTTTCTTTCTAGCTTATAAATAAGACCTTGTGAGCTGAACAGAACATCAGTTAACAAAACCAAAAAATTTCTCATATATACACTGAAAATCCCACAAACTTGATCAAGAGAGAAGCCAAGCCAGGCCTAAACTTATGTATTAGTCATTCTGTTTATTGTAAACACTTGAGTCTTTTGGCCATTGTGTAGCTTTATGGCACATTCATTTTATTACATAAAGTGAAGATTAACATTGAACAATAGCAGAATGTAAGCAGAATACAAGTCCTGTAACACATGCCTTCTAGCCGACATAGCAGTCATGTAGGATTTCTTTCATCTGAAAACAAGTTCAATTTAATATTGGAATATGTACCTAATGCAGTGTTAGTTATCTTCATAAAGAAGCTTGTCAGCAGGAACTTGCATGTCAAGATAGAAGGGACAAGATCAAAGTGTTTTAATGGAACAAAATTTCATGTGTTGACTATGAGGTAGTAAGTCTGGTTCCAAAAATGGAAGCGAGATTATTCACAGAAGCACAGGTGTATGTATATTCAGTGAAATCCTGTTGCAAAAATAATTTTCTGTAAACTTGTGTGAAAAGTAATCAATCTGGGACTCAGACTTTGACCCTGAGAAGTGCTGAGCACAATATTTTATCATCTATTGCTTATGTCAGTGCAATTTAATGAGTTTGAACATTTTAACACAAGATTACCACCTGACAAATTGAAGGTTTTATAGCACTAGCAGGTAACAAACTCTGAAAGTGGAATTGACATAAAAATGTATTGGTTACTTAGTAGATATTAGTAAAATGGGAATTTAAAATGAATATGCCTATTTCCAAACATACTTTGGTGGAATTAATGTGGGGGTTTTTTTCAGAATTGTATTGCCAGCTGTATAGATACAAGTTGTCCAAGTAAGCATTATCTTGGAAAACAACTTGAGGGACAGGCATACTGTAGAACACCTTTTAGTCATATTGCTTTAATTTCTAGTCTCACCAGTTAAATAGATTCTGTCAAGATAATACTTATGTAGAAGTCCTGATGAAAGCAGTGCTATTCATTCAGTAGCAGTACATAGGAACAGTATGACCAGTGTTTGCACATCATGGTTTGAGTGACCTGAACACTGGATGTTTTATAAAAGGTGCCCTAAAGCAAAAAGACCTAACAGTGTATCAGGGACTGAGACATTCTAAACCACTTTACCACATGAGAATAATTTAATTCATTAAGAGAACAAAGTGCATGGTATATTTGTTCTCATCTTGCTCTCCACATCCCACCCAATTTTAATAAATTAGGGGAAAGGTAATTGACTTTTTTTATTATTAGCAAGAAGATGGTTGTATTAATCATCAGGTTTTACTGATATAAGGAGCCCTGATAGCTCTGGTAAGGAAAATTAATTAACGGAGGGAGGAGGATGATATATTACCCTTCTAATTAAAGTTGAGAAACAAACAATTATCTTTGAAAGTACTGAAATAAGCTACCTCTGCTCTTCTTACAACATTAGTTTTCCATGGTACAAGGTTGTTACAGCAGACATATACAAACTCTCAGCTTGGCAAGACATAGGATAGTTAACAGCAGAAAAGCAAAACATAATTTGTAGTTTCATGCTAATACCATATGCTTACTCTGGAAAAATAAAATCTGTAGAGGAAAACCTCATGTAAAAATGTGGTTCCCTTGACTCAGGATATTCATACAGTAATCTAAATGCTCCCAAATCCTACCAAATCCCTTTACTGGGTATGGCTAGAAGTTTAGAATTGGATGCCTTAAAAAGTACAAATTGTGGGATACAAATTATGTGATAAAACGGTCTCTAACTTCACTGGCAGAGCAGACAAGAAGCTGGACCAGATAGGAACTTAAGACTAGGTAGAAAAGTTCTGAGTTAAACAGCTGGAAAACTGATAGGAAAAATTATTTGAATGGTCTAATGGCAATAGCTTTTTAAGCATACATTGTAACGATAAATGTGTGTGGCCAATTGTGACCAAAATTATTTCCTAGAAAGATCCAGAAAGGCATAAAAATGGGAAAAAAAAACTGGACAGAGAAATGAAAGAATGGGTGTTTTACAAGGAGAGTTTGAGCATTAAATAGAGGCCAAGAGCAGTCAGCAGTTATATTTGCAGCTCAAATGTCGGCAAGTGACTTGGAGCCCGCTGTTAATCAAACTCATGTGACTTTCAGGGAAAGGGAGAAGGTGCTCTGAGTAAATAATGCTTGAAGCAATTTGCAGCTCTTTATCTGATATATTGACAAATGTCAGCATGCAGAGATACTGTAGCCAAAGGTGAAGGAACGCTATGACAGAAGCAAAACCTCTCCATCAAAAATCTTTTCCTCTTTCTCTTTCCTTTGATGCTTTGCTGCCTTCTGGCATTTTGGTCACCATGTGTGCTATGGTTAGATATTTTTTTTCTATAAAAGAACACATGGGTATGAAAGCAAGCAAACAGATTTTGAAAAGGCTTTTTCACCTGTTCTCCCTTTTCTTGTTTCCAGAAATATTTGGCTGACCTTTAGGTAACCTTACTGGCAAAATAACAACAGGCAGTCTAAGAGCAAAGATTAATGATAGAACAAGGTCAAAAGTAAAAACCAGTTTCAGACTGTAGTTATGCTGATATAAATTTAGTATAATTTTAATGAATTTAATAAATTTGAACCTATAGGATATGAATAAATATTACAGTTGATTTTATACAGGGGATTTACTCCTCCCTGTGTGCCCAAAATGTTACTGTTGGTAAAGTAATGCAAGAAGATTTGCATGAGGAAATTTGAATAGATTATATTGCCAAGCAGGCTGGAATTTACATATGATATTTTTTCATTTCTGTATCACCCCTCTAAAGTTGGTAGTGATGTAGACTCATTTTTCATTTCATGAGTCTTCTATGTAAGGTCTTTAAACAGTGCTATAGCAAAACAATAGCAATCAAAACAATAATTAAGAGTCCTAGTTCTATACTGGTAACCTTGTTTGAGCTATTAGCTGAATTTGAAGACTAAGTGATCATAGATATTGGCCTTGGTAGCAGGGGTTCTATGTTTAAGAAACTGAGGAATTTGGAAGCCCTAGATTTAGGATCTTAGGGTTTCTTCTCATCTATACATAAGAAAACATTTGAATTCTTAGTTTGGTTTCTTTTTTTGAAATGGAAAAAATAATGGGTTTCTACAGCAAGATGTGGAGATTTAAAAAAACAACAGTCCACAGTTGTGATCTGGTTAACTCTCTACTTGTGGCACTGTAGAAACTTCAAGAGATTGATTAGAAGTTGTATCTTCATGTTCCTGCTGAGAATCAATAAGGATACAAACCCTAAAAAAATATAATCCCATTTCACATAATAACTGGTTTTCTGGGATGAACTGAACCTTTGTATTTTTTTAACTTTGGTGTGGTACATTTTATGAGGACTACAGTTTTGCTTTTTGTTCATAAAAAGCATTTGTTTCTAATATTGTTTACAGAGTATTCAAATATTTATCTCTCGTGTTCAGATTGTTTTTTCTTTTCACTGAATGCATATACAAATAAAAGCAATACAGTTAGACTCTGTGGTCTTTGCTCTGGTGTTAACATGTTTCCATCTGTAGCTTTTTCCTTTGTTTCCATTAGTTAGCCTAGAATTACACTTGTGTTCCAAATTTACCCCTAAAAAACTTTAAAGACACAATATTCTGTCTCTTTCCAACTATAAAATGGGCTGGGTTTGGATCTAGTTCTTAAAGCCTTCCACGTTCCTATTTGGGCTTAGAAAATTCTTCTTATTTTCAGAAGTTTTCAATTCATAGTCTTGTTAGGGTGTGAAAAAAAAGCCATTTTATTAGTAAAAGAAAATATAACTTATGACCTACATAATGCCTCTGTTGTGTTTGGAGATTAACAGTGGCCATCCCACAGGTCTGCCTGGCCAACGGACAGGGAGGTGGTGCCTCAAGTAAAGCTGTACAGGAAGCTGGAACCTCGGTCTGACTGCTGCCAGCATTAGTCCTCTTCATTCTAAAGGAGCACATATGAATTGGTGAGAAGAAATATGAGGTGTCCAAGCAAATGAAAGAACAGATAATTCTGAAACAAAAGAAATTGCAATTTGCATATGACCTTACATAATATCTAAAGTATTTCATATTTATATTAAACGTGTTATCCCATCTTATATACTTTAGTTGTGTCTTCGTTAACAGTCATCTCTTCCCAAGAAGTCAGTGTGACTACAAACCCATACAACTAAACTTTGCCTGAAGTCTAAATATAGTATATATTAAGAATATGGTCAGCAAAGCCTTGCAGCTATATGTGGAGATGACCATTTCATCTCTTGCTGGAAATAATGAACACCAGATACAAGGTCTTAGTGGTTCAAGTTTTTCTATGGTTTAGCTTACGTTGTTTCTGAGTCTTGAATGAAAAGCAAAATGCCTTTTAGCAGAAAGAATAAAACAAATGCTCAAGATGAGGAAGAAATAACTTGTTGGTATTGAAAAACCTTTGTGTCAGGTTTTAGCCTCATCTAGGCAGTACAGTAAGAAGAGGAAGGAAAAAGTAGCAACACATGCTTTACACTTTGAACTCCAGCTACCAGTTCACACAATAGTAATTCTTTTATTCATGTTAGCCAATTTAAGCTATGCAGGCATGTGAACACAAGTTATAATAAAACCTGCATTTTGCTATCCAGCATATCCTTAGAAGTTCTTATTTTCTTCTCTTTCTCTTATCTTAAAGTTCTACCGACTAAAGTGGGCTTATATACCTTGCTGCATATTCCTGATGGAGTAAAGTATGTAACTAATGATAAGGCACACATACCAACATAGAGCTGAAACAGGACTAAAAAGCAATATCAGAGCATAAAGACTATAAGCAAAATCTGAGGTATAGCTATCAGTGCCTCAAGAAATTATAAAAAGCCTTGAACAATACCTATGAAGAATCTTATGTCAATCAGACACGTTTACCGAAAGAATTGTAGTTCAGCCACTTTTTAAAGATAAGGAATAGGGAAATGTGGTATCAACTGCAGATGATTTTAAGGAATTCCCATTTAATTGAAAAGCAAGAAAACAGGGCCAAGGTACTAATTCTTGAGGGGAGAAAATAGATGTAGTAAGTAAGGAGATAGTGTGAATTGAAAACAGCAAGTTAATTAGGGAGTCTTAGAAACAAATTGTATCTCTCCAAAGAGTTTCTTTCAATTGTAGCTGTTCCCGAGGCTTTTTGTGATGTTTTGGTAGGTACAGTTCTACCTATCTGAGGTAGTAAAAGTTTGAAACAATGATACACTGAAAGAATCCTAGTAAACCAACTTCATGTTCCCCCACTAAGACAGCAGATATTTTTCACCTGGATACTTCAGAAAATAATGCTACGCTAGAAGATATATCTGGAAGAAGGAAAGCAAATATGTATAACAAAGTGTTGTTTCGTTTTCAGTTTCACCAATTTCTCTGTACTGAAGCTATTGAATAAATAACTTGTGTTTTTAAATCACTCAGCTCTCTCCCTGGTTTCCAAAAACAGCTCACATACACAAATCTGAATGGGATCTGCACTGTAGGAATAACAAGAACTGAAAGTAATCCAAATGTTTTTGAAGCAGCATTCCTTCTAGGTTTGGGAGCTTCCACTTAAATACCTGTATAACCACCTTCACATGAACTGCTCTTCGAAGGTTAACATGCGGAATATAATTGCAGAGGTATTCAGGATCGGTTATATTACTTTCTCTGTCAAGTGGTTTGGTTGACTGCTGGCTAGTGTATAAATGCTGTAATTCAAACAGTGATTTCAGTCCTGGGCCCATTTACATGGAATAGGTTATGTCAAAGCATGTTTCTAAAGTTGTGATGAGTAATTAAGGTTGAACAGAACAGGCTGTTAAGCTTACCACCTTATAAGAGCTTATTCAAAAGATGCTTAAGCACATTCTTCAATTACCAGTAAGTTCAAAAGACCTTAGTCCAAATTTTTATAGAAGCACGTATGAAAAACATTCTTCTTAATTTTTTTTCTTAATTCAACCTTACCTTGGAAATCCACAGGTCAATTTTTCACTATTTGTTTTATATCACAGATTATTAAGAAACTGTTCTGATAGTGTGAGTGAAAATGAGAAAGGAACCCTGTGCAAAATGAATGATCTTCATAATGAGAATGGTTGTCTATTCTGAAATCACAGGCAGAAATCTATTTAAAAACATGAACAGTATTTGCATCCAGTATTTGCATCTTCAGCATAATTTTCATCATTATAACAATAGCAAAAACATTATCTCTTTGAAAGACTGCACCTTCTGTCTCAGGAAAAGCAGAAAAGCCTTTAACCCGGTACTTGATTTGAAGAGCTAATTCATGTTCCTAACAAAATCACTTTTTTCAATAGGAGCAAGACAGTGGCTACCTGACTTTCATATAAACAGTTTCAGAGGTTTTCTTTGTAACTGAATGGGATTTTCATAGGCCTTATGCATTCATTTGTACAGCTATGCAGACTTGAAAGAAAAAGACAGCTCTTGAATTCTGGCTACCCAAGAAGTGCATACACCATCTGTGGCTGAGAGGGAAATGTAAAGCAAACAACTGAAGTAGCTTAGATGTGTTTATCCAATCAAAACTAAACTCTAAAGGCAAATGTGGTGATGTAATTACTTGTCACATAGCTAGCGCATCCATCAAAATATGTGCTTTGCACTTTGAAGCTGACCATGTAGCCTGTGTGTTTTAGGAATACGTATTTTATCTTCAAACTTGGGCTAAATTAGCATGACGAGATCTGCCACCGTTACTCTCTGCATGGAAGATTTTTTAATGAGAGAAAACAAAACATCATCTGTTGGGAGATAGGCAGCTGACCCTGAAATGCCATTGCTCTGACAGCTCTCTCTACTGTATCTTGTTCCTGGTCCAGAAGATACTTCCAGTAATACTGTTCAGAATGACTGTAAACCACAATTCAAGAGTGAGAAGAGATTATAACAGCACATAGTGAGGCTTCTGAATCCTTTAAACATAGGCAAATGGCAACAAGTATCGGGATAAACTGAGATATAACAGTGGAATTCTGCCTGTTTAAGTCCTTTGTCTTAGAGAATTCCATAGGAGGAAAAAAATTAAAATTTTGCGTCTCAAACCAGAATGGACACCTGAAAGGGGTCAGAGGCAGAATTTTATTAAGTCTCAGAAGGTCAAGATTAATCTGGAATACATGGGGGGAAAAAATCAGTATTCAGTTCTGCTGTGGTGGAGAAGTGGCCATGCTCAACAAGTGTATTTGAGGGGTTTGTTCCTTAGAACTGATTGAAAGCAGGGAAAGAGGAAGTGGGAGTGGGTTTAGGGAGTTCCAGTGGGAAGGGTGACTGGAGAAAGTCAGATCTGTGGAAAGGAGTGAGATTATAGAAAAATGAAGGAGAAGGATGAGGGAAATTCTGGAGCTTTGCAGAGTCTCTCCACACACTCACTAGCCCTCGTGTCTTCAGATGACAGGACACTGCCTCCTCCACTTCCCAGTAGCCTTTCCTCCCACAACAGTCCACTCCCACCTTAAAACCTAGAGGTCTTTTCTTCCCTATTCTTGCTCCCGTTGAGTGGCTTTCAGGTCCCACTATCACTGGAGGACGCAGTCACTTGACTCTGTGTGGATGGGGCAGGGGAGGGACAGCCAAAAGTGAGCAGGCAGGTTGTTGCCAGCTCGCACACTGACAGCCCACACTTCATACATACACACCAGCTTAACGCCCAGCAAGATCTTTCAAAACAAGAATCAAAGTCACATACTGTTGTTTACTTTGGCTGTGCCTGGAAGTTAAACTTGCCTATTGCCACTTGTATTGGTGAGATTCCACGGATTTCAGCTGATTTCTATGAGTAAAAATTGAATGGCTTGTTAGCAAGCCCCAGTTTTCCTTGGGTGCCTGGAGGAAGGTCAAGGAAGTCTCTAATGCCCACTGCTGCCTTTCACAGAGCTTTCTGGATGCTGGTGGTACTTGTGCAGCAGTTTTAAGATGCCTCCATCAGTTGCTAAAATATATAATAATATATAAATTGTTTATGTTCTTCTTTATTTCTCCCTGTAGAACAAAACTTTTGAGAAATGTTTCTTCCCATCCTAAGCAAGGAAAAATAATAGAGTAAAATGACAGAACCCTTTGGGAAAAACTGTTTAGCAACAGTTAAGGACTTTATTGACTGAACCTGCTATTTAAACAATTTAATTCTGCTTATGTGGGCTATGTAAAATTAGGTGTAGAAAATGACTAAAGGCAAAGCCTATTATCTTAATTATTAATGTATTAATATTTATATATTATTAATATATTACCCTAATATATTAACTAAGAAACTGAGTCTTTTTAAGAGTGTGAAACATATCTAATGATTTGTTTATAAAAAGCATGGACTAAGGGTTATTGCAGTTTAACAAATGAACTGCTGCTTCTTTGCCCTGGGGAACAGCAGATGGTCACTGACAGGGAAGGATTCAGTCCAGAAAGAGCAGAGTGTGCTGTCAGTGGCTTGCTTTTTTTTCCTGGGAAGAGGTACCAAATTAATAGAGATGTTAACTGACAATTATATTAAATGTGAACTTGCTCTTACTATGGCCAAGGGCAGGTCTGCATTAACTGCTTTTGTCTGAGATAATCACATTTAGTCACTGTATTTAAAAACACAGTGAATTACTACATTAAAAAGTTCATTTAGTATTTTTTAACTAGAGGAATTCAAAGGGACAATGGAGGTGGCAAACATCTGATTTTAGGAACCCTAAAACAGCTGTTCTGTTCACAGGCACAAGAAGTTGTTGTGAATCCAGGTATTTCTCAGCATTCCTTATCACTGCCACTCATTTTCCAGGGTCTATTAATCTGCTTTGGGACTCAGGATGGGGAAACATGATTTCTGTCAGGATAAGGCTCCCTCCTGACAGACTTTGTGCAAAGGTCTGTATCAGTAAATATGCATTAAGTTTTGGAGAGACTCAGGAATGAGACAAATTCTATTTACTTTATAGTAAAATGTAATTTCAAAATAAGAATAGACAGAATGCTATGTTTATTTCATAGTCTCCTTATTTTATACAAAATGTAAAAGACTAGTTACTACTCCCCATTGTTATTTACAAGAAACTGCAAGTATATAGTTAAGACAGAAAATCATGGGGTTGTAGCAACTATGCTAGCGATAATCCTGGATAACACACAATTCTTTTTTGTATGTTTTTCACATACGTAGTTTAACACATTAGCACATACAGTCACCTATCTCACTTATTATCACTGCAACATTTTTACATATTAATGTCCAACTACTCTCTGAGGCTTATTTTTTTACTCTATCTACAGCACAGGTACTATAAAAATAAACACTTAATCCTTTTGTCCCTTTACTCCTTTTTAGTCTATATGCATGGAAAATTCAATTTCAACATGAACTTTGCCCAAGAGAAGTTTGAAAGGTAAGGCTATGGTTAATTTTAAATTGAACTCAAGTAATTTCATCCTGTAAAAGCTCTTTGTAGACAAAATCCATTAATGCTACTATAGCGTGATAAGCCTAGAATAGGCGTGCTTTTGTGTCTTCTTTGCAATCTAGCGTTCTACTGGTGAATAAAACAAAAGCAATAGCCATGCAAACAGGACAGCAATACAGTAACATTTCCTTTACTAACAGCAACAAAAGGTAAATCTTCTGAAAATTTCTATATTTCTATTCAACATGCATCCCTTTGAAAAATTTTCTTATTTTCTGTATACTCACCCTCCACTTGCTGTATCCTTGTATTTTCAGATGTGGTTATAATGATGGCCCAACAGCCATCCACTGCTGTGCTATCACATCCTGTAAAGCAAGTGACATACTTTTGGGGCCATAGTAGAGGTGGGGAGGTTTACCCCTTCCAGTAAGTCTGCCTCTGATTCCTGAGGCAGCAAGCTATTCTTTGGTTTTGTCAGGAATCTTAAAGGTATGTTCACATTAAACTCCACTTCTTTTTCGTCACTGGTGACACACTGTCATACTTAGCAATTCTCATGATTTTCCTTGTTTGGTCTTTTTCCTCTGAAGACTTTATATGCTATTTTGTCTCTGTGTAAGACTTTTTGCATGCATGCATTGCAAGATACCGTCTCTCCTGAAAAGCTCAATAAACATAAATAGGGCTAGGATGCTGATACCTCTTCACACAAGTGGACTAGAAAGACTGTGGTTTTCCAAATGCCAAAGACAAAAACCTCCAGAGAACCCAGGAACTAAACTGGATTTCTTACCTCCCAAGGCAGTGCCACAAGTCCAGCCATCCATTCTTGCTAACACCTTGGCAGCTGGATTACAAACCTCTCTTGTGAGTAATAAAACCAGTTAATAATAATCATCTGAACAACACAAACCTAGCAATGCTGCAGACATGCTAGGGAGCATCTTGTGCACCCAAGAAGCTCAGCAGCATTAGTGTCAAGGGTATAGGAATAAATGCAACAGAGAGCATGCACTCTTTGAAATGCATTTCCACTCAGGCAGTTTACTGTATGGGTGGGAACTTTATAACAACACTGTCCCCTTTCTCCCACTGTTCCTATGTGTTCTCAGGATGAGAGCCTAAAGGCAGCATGTGAATTCAGCCACTTCAGTGCAATTCTTTCGTCTATCCTACATGCAATTACAGCTTCAAGGGAGGGGGAAAATAAGACATGCATGTGAATATTCTGAGCGCATCTTGAAGAGATCTTGCTTAGGAATAAACTGTGTTTGTCTTTTGATCATCCTCCACATGGTCCTGAGAATGAGAATAAGTTGCAAGAAGGTGCCCCATGAAGGAATGAATCACAATTTAAAGACGCTGACGGACCTCTCAGCCAAACTGAATCTCAAATCAGGAAAACAGGTCGAAATACTAGGGTTTTCTAAAAGCTCATTAAGAGTCAGGTATTTTGTGTGGTAACTGTACAGATTTCAGCTCTGGAAACAAGTCCAAAGCATGTGTTACTGGTCCCTTTGACTCTCACTAGTGTATTTTTCTTTTTTTTCCTTGAGGGAAAGGCTAGCAGCCAAAGTATAGCTTTCTTGGCTTTAACATATCTGAAGAATACGTGAGAAGAAACATTTGTTGTATTTTATTTCTGGTTTATTTCAGCATGGAGTATGGATAAATCTGGACCATATATGATTTTTGTAGTCCTGGCTAAATAGTAAACTAGCTTTCTGTATAACTAGCATGAAATTTGATCACTTGCTTCTATGTGGAGGGTTTAAGAATAAAATTAAGGTGAATTTGTTAATTCATTAACATGCAACTCTGTTAATACTTAGTGAGGGAATTTAGGTTAAATATTATTGTTACTCTGAACACATGAAAAATCGTAAGTAGTAGTACTAAATTAACCAGATACTGGGAGATTCTTTCGAGTAAAGTTGTAAATATTGTGAGCAAAAAGCACAGTACATTTGTATTTAGAGCAAATTATTCTCATTAGCGTTGATCACTAATTCTTCATTTTCACCCTGCTCAGCAGATTGACATGCATATTAATGCACTGTCTTGGAACTGAGCCATAGGCAAAAGTAATGTTTTTGACATGTTCACTGTTTTAATGGCTAGCTTTCAGAAGGTTAAGGTGTATTACCGCATACAAACAGATACTGTAAAATTTCCAATAAATTCTGTAGTATATCTGTAGTATATCTCTGTTGATACTTCCAACAGAGGCATTTTAACTTAGAACCTACCAGATCCTGCCTACCTTTCCTAATATCCTTTCTGCTGCAAATGAGGAAGTTCTAGTGTATCTCTGATGGGACAGTGGGCAGAACATACCCTATAGATTCAGTCTCCAGACATGGAACTGCCAAGAGGCTTCACCTTAGCACATCAACTGACTCATACTTCTCATGGAAGAGGAGTAGATGGAAGTCATAGTGTGCTCAGATTTAACTTCACTTTAGAAAACTTTACATTACTATCTGAATTAATTTTCAAATGTGATTCTATCTTTCTATATATCCCACATCCTTACAGCAAATTGTGTCTCATGCTGAAAAACAAAGAGGAATAGAAACCTAACAATTGTGGCTGTAGTACAGTAAATTTTTTAAACACTTAGGAAGAAAATGCTAAATTTCAGATTTCCTGTGCAGCTTTAATTCAGCCTGCATATGTCTGTATGTGCTGTTCAATTATATGACTCTATTGTATATTTTCCACTTGACTACTGTATTAGTCAGTATTCAATTTTCCTTTTTCTTTACTGTTATTATTGTTGTATGTGGCCTCATTTTTTTACTCACAACTTGACAAATTCTGCCTGGGGACAAAAGTTTTTTTTGCTTTGTCATACATTCTGACACTAACTTATTCACAGATATTATGTTTCTATGATATTACTTAGTTCATTTTCACAATAATCCTTTGAGATGAGAGAGTATTATTACTGCTTTCAGAAGAAGGAATGAGGCAGAGAAAGTTAAAAGTCAAAGTATCTATTGATTTTGAGTACCTAATATAAGACAGAAAGGATTCTGTAATATTTAACATCAAATAGCAACCAGCCAGACTGCTTTAAGTATTACCTGGAAGTACAGCTCTGAGTGCCTAACACTCTGTAGACCAGGTCTTGACATTCCAGTCAGACCTGCTGTAGTGGAACAAAGAATGGGCTAATGGAGCCAGGTATTTCTGCTGGCCTTTCTCCCCACATCCGGAGGTAATAACTACAGTGGGTTGTATCCAGTAACACAAGGGATCAGTCCAGATGTTTTGTACATACGGGCAATCAACTCCATGTTTCTACAAAAGGCATAGCTGACATGTCACAGCTTCCTATGCCAGCCAGTTTGAGTCAGAAAGATACCCCTTAATGAACTCACAACAAATATGAGATGTGGACATTAAAGGTAACAAGTTGTTGGAGACAAGTGACTGTAGCAACTGCATTTTGGAAACCCTTAGTGCCTTTTGCATGCTCAAATGAGAATTTCATGAGTAGTCATGTACCTGAAATGTCATTGGTATGTAGCAATGTAACCTCATTAGCTAGCTATCTAAATGCTTACTTCACATTTAGATAGGGATAAAAATTAGCCTAAAATATATGAAATCAATGTGTGACATTTTAGATCAGGAAATTAAAATTATTATCAGCACGTGCAAAGTAACTTTAAAGACTAAAGAAATTGGACATCCACTGAGAAAAAAATACTAACTTTGTGATTCTACATAATCAGAGCTTAGAACTGCAGCAGTAGAATAACTAAAAAACACTTTTCCAGATTGCAGAATAGTTTGGTGTCTTTTTATGGTATCACCAGGACGCATTGTTGACTCTGGGAACAATAATAAGAAGAACAGGAAACTGTATTTGATCTCTCAAAATAGCAGAGGCCTCTTGCACTATGTAAATACCTAAACTTGGACACTGATTTTCTATGGTTCTAGGCTAGGCTCAGGATTACAGAATTACCAGTTGTTTATACATTGGCCCCAAATCTCTATTGCTCTGCAGTCTGTGCACGTTAGCCCTCTCACAATTACAGTTCATAGAACTCATTACTATTGTTTGCTCACTGACAGCTAACTGCTCTCTATGGCTCCCTATACCCAGGAAGAATGAAATGTTCTAATTCTTGTTCCTGAGCAGAAAAAGGGCCTGTCTCCAAACTACACAATTTCAGGTGGGAGAATTAAATAAAAGAAACTACATACAAACTAAAACAAAGTAGGGAGAAACTAGAAGGCATCCCTTCCTCAGCTAAAAAAGAAAAGCCACTGCCAAAAAAAGTCTATCATTACACCCGTGGAAAAAAAATGCCATAGGCTGCAAACCACTGGTATGTGATTTAATAGTCTGTCATTGTTCTTAATCCTGTTATTGTTTTCTTTGCTATTTGTTTCCACAGCAAAATTCCAGCAGTGATAGAAAATGAATAGCAGTGAGACAGTTTGGAGTCCATCTGAAACTGTCTGGTGTTCTTTGAGTCCTGGATTTTTGCTAGAATAAGATTTAATCTTGCAACCTGTACTTCACTGATATCCTCACTGAATGCTCTGGGAACAGCAATATGAGTAGGGAGTTGGCAAACTGGACAGATAATCACACATTATTCAACATCCAGCTGCCTTTGGCTACTATCACTCAGTACAGTTTGCTGAATTACAGCTTGCTTGTACACTGGTAATCAGATTTCCTTGCATTTAGAATATTTTGTCTTTCATTCTCGGTTTCCACCCTCTTTATCCATCCATCAGTCATTCTCTATATAAAACCGAATATGTTTTGAATTCATAGAAAATGTCAACAATGCCAAGTCCTTTGACTGCATGTTAAAGCCCCCTCTGTGGTTTGTGGTTTTGCTTATGGTTAACTCTTCTGAATGATTTTCCTGTGGCTTTGTTCATCCCTAAGAAAAAGAAGCGCGATTTCACTTTATAAACCACAGACTCCATACACACATTTACATCTGTAAATAGCTGTAACTGGCCCCAATGAAAGCTACAATCTACATGGAATAGCTAACACAAGCCCAGTAAACATCTGCATTGTTTTTTAAAACTTCCCTCCACTTTAAAATCCAGTATTACTAATACAACTACAGAACTATCCTATTAACCTGTACAGACCTAATTTACCTCCTTGCCACAGCAAAGATTAATATAGAAAAAGAGCTTCTGCTTCTCAAATAAAATGGTTTCCATAATATGGGAGTTAAATCTGCTTTTATAAATATTATTGCTCTCTCATGATCTCACAACAAAAATTTATTTCTTGCACAGCATGCTATGTAAACTTAAACTTTAGCAAAATAAAGTTTAATTAAAGTTCTTCTTACTTTCAGTAGAACAACATGAGAGCAACAGATTTTGCACAGCTGTTCTGATCTGTGTTATAAAAATAGCTGTATTGACAAATATGTGTTGGGAGGAAAGTATTGTAGTAATGGAAAGAAAGTGCCAACTTGCCTACTGACCAGATGTCTGGTCATTTTATATAAATGTTTATATGTACAGTGATCTTTGCTTAGAGTGTATGGCAAAGACTGAGTGAGATTCTGCCAGTATTTTATATCGTACAATGGCTTTTTTAAGAAGAAAAGCAGGTCTCCTGGTTTTTAACAACACAGGTGACATGGGGTCTTTGAATGTAGGCAAGTGTACGAAGCAGGCCAGAAAACACGTTTTCAGATTTTGAAAATTCTAATATGTATGAACAAAAGCTCAAAAAAGAGAGAGGAGAAAAAAAGTTTTAAATTTCAGGCTTAACATTTCATTAAAGCATTCATGACTCGTGTCTGTGGAATGATATACCTATTCATGTCTTATAAATCAAGACTCACAATAAACTTCATCTGTAATCTTAAAAAAAAAGGGTCTGGCCATGTTCCGTCTTCTAACTTGAACCCATACTATGAAAGAAAACGTAATTTCATAACTAGTAGGGATTCTACCACCTCTGCAGCCTTCCTGGCATTGCCAAAGTCAGGAAATTAAGACAATATGAGACTATTGTTCTAATTCCAACACAGAAGGAAATAACAGTTCTGATGCAGGAGACAGATTTTGGTTGGCTTTCACTGTGTGGAGAGAGGTGAGACAGTATTTTTGCCAATGAATTATTGGCTTTCCTTCTAAGACTGGAATTTCATATTATCCACTAAGTCAGCATACGAATACAATAGCATTGTCACCACCAATTCCCTTTGAGTCCCTCTACACTTGAGTTTTTGGGCAAACCTTTCACTCTCATTACTTACACAGTCAGTCTCCAGCTGCTCCTCATCCACTGAAGACACTTGGCACAGTAGTTATATCCAAGGGTACACTGGTATTGAACAGCATATTTTTGTCATTCCAGAAAGGAATTTTTCACTAACCATAGCAAACCTTTCACATCAAGATGTCGCCTCAAAGAGTTTTGAGTTATCAGGGATTCTTTCCTTGGCCCTAGGGAACTTACCCACCTTGGCGATACATGGTGGTGAGTGACTTATGTTATTTGAGAAGTTTTCATGGATTCTTGATGTTAAAGAAAAATCTCACTGATTCCAGTTGCACCTACAAGACACAAAAGATGCAGGGCACCTTAAATCAGTGGTTTCATTCCGTATCCTGTGCCAAAGTCATAGACTTTAGCTAGAGCCACAAGCCACCTTCATATCTAGGCCCATTCAGCTGATATCTTGGATAATATCTGATATTGCTAGCAAATACTCAGAAAATATTGTTCACAGTTCTAAAATTTCCTAAATGCATGAAAATAAGTATTCTATAGTGTTGTTTTGACTCAAACACTTATGTCATAATACAATATTTTCATGGTAGCTGTGAAAACACAAGTTTGTTCAGTTATACCTTTAGACCTTTTCAACATTTGGACATAGTGAAATTTTTAAATCTCAGAATTCATTTAGTAAGTTCAATTATTTTTGGCCAGTAATTATTTTGACAAACATATCCAGAGCACATGTCTTCAATTCATTCTAACTATTTAACTTCAGTCTTCATTTTGTTCTTAGGGAAAAAAAATCTAAACAAAAGGAGATAATGGGTGTTTTGTGCTAATTACAGGTTAGCGTGTTTTATGTGTAATGTGGGTCCTAGATTAGCAAGCCCTTACTCCAAGAAGCCTTAGTACATAATTTTAAACAGCAAAAACATTGCTAATTCCAGAACTTCATAGGTGAGTACTTGTGTTATTTTTATTAAAGTGCTCAACCTCAAAACACGCAAGCCTGAAGCTGTAAATCCATGGAATAGGAGTTTCACTTGCTAAATATGCATGTGAGCACTAGCTATGAAGTTTTAATAGATCTAAAATAAATACACCAGTCTTACTGTACTCCACTGCCTTGAGTTATTCCTATCAAGTCTAAAGTAAAGACTTCAGGGCAGCTGAAGAGGAAGAAACCTGAAAACTGGCATTCCTCTTGGAACACTAGTTGATTTTTAACTGGTGAAAAGTAAGACTGTTTCTACAGCAAGAGTGCATTAGATTCTGACTTGCAATGGCAAAACAGAGCTTTCCAGTCCTTAGGCACATTATCCTGTTTTAATTGTTCATTTTCTCTCAACTGTTCTCTCTGCAAGAATTAAACAGATTATTATCACTCTAAAGAGTTTGCTTTCCATGGAAGTTCTTCAAGCATTTGTGAGGCACAGATGCATTTGCCTATAGCAGACATAGAAATGTTTAAAAATCAGCCACGTGAAAAACGAAGCAAATACAGGTAAAGTGTTCCATGACATCACTTTAAAATAACTATTATAGTAACTTGAAATTTTAAAATCATTGTTACACAAATTGCATTTTTATTCCTTCACTGTTCTGTAAAGACGTTGCTCGAACAGCAGCTGCTGTGGTCCTGTCATCCTCCATCCTCATCCTTCATCTGCTCTTCTATCATTGGAACGTGTAAAAAAAATCTTCTAATAGTAGTTGTAATGTGTAAAAATGATAGTCCATTCCATTATTACTTATATTTCTTACATTGCTTCCTAAAAATGAGCAAACAATCCTTAGTGCAAAAGCTGGGATTAGTTTTCCACTTCTTAAGGCCCCTAAAATTAGGACATTGAGTTAACAGTTACAAGAGAGCATCAGTGCCCTGGAGAGATTTTCCAGGAGTTTGGGCAGATCTAGCCTTTTCCAGGTTTTGAAGGACATGACCCACAGACTGAAGCCTCCCTTCAGTAAAGCTGGCTATGTAACAACACAGCCTTTACTACTTGCAAGAATTTTTACAACACAGCACAAAGTCTTGCTGCAGAAAGAGTTATGTTGTGATTCACTGACCAATATAAACAATATAAACAGCATGTTGGATTGGAATGAGACGTTACTAAAAAAAAAAAATCCCTCAATATTTTTTGAAAACAGAACACTCAGTATTTGCTGATTAGGCATTTGCAGGACTTGCGGTTACACTGTTGATTCCTTCAGAGTTTACATATCTCTAGATCAAACAATTCAGCTAAAAAGACAGGTCATAGTTCTAAGGAGCAATGGACTCAAAGGGATGGAAGTAGGAGACAGTAACGTTCTCACTCTAAACGAATATATTAAATACTGCATGGAACTCTTTACCATTGAGTTTCTCTATGTGTCACCCCATTCCAATCTCACACATATTTTATTTTACTATCTAGCTTTTTGGTATCACAACAGAGCTTATATTCCCATATTGGGCGTAACAGACAGCACGTGTAAAACTCACTAAGTCTTACACTTCCTTACATTTCATATGTATTGCAAAGTCTGAAGAGGCAATATCTCTTTTGAATGACACAGGAAGTAGATCATGAGTAGATCCTTGGTTGCTTTGGTAAAAGTAACTGCAGAGCTCCACCTAAATTCATTTAGATAATTATGTGACTGATTTGAAATTAGCCCATTAGCTTCTGCTGTAAGAGTTCTCGTTCACTTCATCGTGCCAGCCTTTTCACATTTTTCCCTTTTCAGCTGTTACTGAATTTCAGTGGTAGCTAAAAAACAAATTTCTCTTTGGGGAATCAAGCACACCAAGGATTGTGACAGGGCAATTTATTATTTTAAAGTTGTGCCAAGCAGGGTGAACCTGATTTTCTTTAAAACATGCATCAAAAATACATTATTCTCATTACTTTATTCATGTTACATTTCTACAATTTACAATACAGCTTTACCAGGATGCCTGCTGTCTATATTTCACAGCATCACAGAATCCAAAAAAGGCTTGGATTGGAAGGGAACATGAAAGATCTGAAAGACTATCTAGTTTTAAGTCCCCTGCCATAAGCAGAGATGCCATCCAGTAGATCAGGTTGCTCAAAGCCACATCCAACCTGGCCTTGAACACTTTCAGGGATGAGGAATCCACAGCTTCTCCAGTCAACCTGTTCCAATGCTTCACCACCCACGTAGTAAAGATTTTCTTCCTAATACCTAATCTAAACCTATTCTCATTCGGTTTGAGGCCATTCCCTCTTGTCCTATCGCTACATGCCCTTGCCAAAAATTCCTCACCAGCTCTCTTGTAAAGCCCCCTTTACATACTGGAAGGTGCTGGAGCCTGCTCTCCTCCAGGCTGAACAACCCCAGCTCCCCAACTCTCTCAGCCTATCCCCAGAGGAGAGGTTCTCCAGCCCTGTGACCATCTTGATGTCTCTCCATTGGACCTGTTCTAACAGATCTATGCCCATCTTATGCTGGGGACTCCGGAGCTGGATGCAGCACTCCAGGTGGGGTCTCACCATAGCAGAGAGGGAGAATCACCTCCCTCGATCTGCTCGCCACGCTGTTTTTGATGCAACTCAGAATTCATGGATCAAATATTTATCCCACCACCACCCCCTTCCAAAATACTGAGACTTATACTAGCGTGAAAATAGCGCGCTATAAGTTAAATCCCGCTCTTCCTCCCGCAGAAGCGCGTTCCCAGGGCAATGTTCCACAGGCAGGTGCCGGCGGGTCTTCCTCCGCAGCTGTTCCCCGTCCTCTCCAGGAGATGCCGCTGCGCCCCGCTGATCCCAGCTCCGCACTCTCGCGGCCGGCTGCATCACGCGGATCCCGGTCCTGGTCTCCAAAACCCGCAGGGGATTGGGAGACAATGAACACGTGTGGTCAGCGAGAGAGAGCAGGGCCCGGCGAGTGCACGGCCGCCGTGACGAGTTGCCCGGGTGCTCTGCTGTACTTTGTCATGCCAGCCGGTGGATTCCTGCTCGCTGGGCAGTACGGAGAGAGGCCTTTGTGTACACAGTAAAACCGGGAAACAAAACCTGGGGCATCGACCTGGGATATTTAGAACATCGATCCTGCTCCTAACGGATCAGCTCTGAAGGTTTAAAATTACCACAGTAATCAACTGCTATTAAAATGCATTTCCAAACCAAATCCTGCTACAGATACTTGAAGAGTACAGCACCATAAGCATCAGAAGTGCCTCGGTATTGCAGCACTGCACCCATGTTTAAATCTGAAAGCCCAAAAACATATTCTAAATCGATGTTCGCATTTCAAGGGTGTTTGCTTTTTCCACTTGTCATATTCCCCATGTTAGTAACAGATAAGAAGCACGATGCTAACTCCTGAGCCTACCGGAGGTAAACTGAGAGAAGAGACTGCAACAGAGGAGAGGGCAGGATGGGAAGGCTTCATTTCCAAAATCTTTCTGATTCCTTATCATACAGAGTAGAAAGGGATCCCATGAACTTCTGCAGCGTTTTGCATATGACATGAATTTAAAGGGTATTCAAAGCATCTTTCATGCTAATTATAGCAGACAGACAGTTCCAAGTATGCTTAACATAGACATTTGAAAGACTAACGCAGCTGCTTCTGGGAATAGATACAGCTGTCTCATAGTGACTTGCACTGAGATGGTGATTTGTGTTTTAAGTTAAAGTATGGGCAAGTTTACCTTTTTCCAGAGATTATGTGAATAATTAAAATGAAATTTAAAAAAAAAAAAAAGTTATATTCCTCCACAGTGCATTTATTAATGAAGTGCAAAACTGAAGTGAAATAAGTCAGGTTATCATCACGGAATTCAGTAGGAACAGCAATAGTTTTCAGCAATATGTTTAAGTAGAATATCACAACCAGCCAGGCATACTGCTTCACTTTAGGGTTAAAGTTTTCCTCATCAAGTAAATAATTTGCTAGCAAAACAGAAAACAGCTGCCAAACAGATAACAGGCAATGCTCCAGGTTGTTTTTATTATAATTTCAGTCAGTCAAACATCCAGAATAGCATTTTTAAATTATTTCTGGAGGGCAGTTTAACAGGAGAAGAAGCCAATAAAGTAGTATAACTTTCATTTCTCACAATACTCAATTAAATGCATTAATGTAAGTTATCTTTAACTTTTGAAAATTTCCTTACATTGCTATGTAGCCTTTATGGGTTTAAAATAAGATAGCAAACATACAGCTTCAATTATAGATACGTCTGGTAATCCTGCTCTGCTATGAACTCAATAAAGAACTTAATTTCTGATAAGTATCGAAATTTAATAATTTAATAAGTATCTTTCTTCATTACTCCATTAGGAACCAAAAATCCCATTTGAATTGACTTGCCATTTCCATGGTAATGGAACATGTAAGGACAAGAAATAGAACTCTAAACAAGAATAGCCAAACAAGAAGGAATAAAAGTATCTTGTTTGATTATTTCTAGCATTAGGGCAACTATTGTTGCACTAATAAATGAAATAAACAATTTTCACCATCAGTTGCCACAACACATTCTGCTTTACATTACCAAGCCCAGCTATAGGGATTTTCTAGCAAACACGCTAAAATTTAGAAATGCTTTTCCCTTTTCACTGCACTTTTCTCTTAGCTATTTACCCTTGCAGGCATTATTTGCCCTGCGATCAGATATTATTTTTGTGCTCATTATTTATAATGATAAACAAAATAATATTGCAATAATCCGAGGTGCATTAAAATTTTGCTTTTGCTAGTCATGCATGAAAGCTGTGCATGTGCTGAAGCCACTCAAGGCCTCAGCACTAAAAATAGTGCTCTATTGTTAGTGGATAAAAGACGAAACAAGTCTCCCAGCACTGGAGCACAGGATGCTGTATTAAATGTTAAGCTTTGCCTGTTCTAAAAGTGAAAGGCAACATCCACTAATAGACTAGTCTGTTGGGTGAGACATACGGCTGGGAAGGGCTCACTCTGACTCTGCAGCTTCCCAAGGCAGCAGGAGTAGCAGCTGATCTTTCTGCCTCAGCCATGGCAGAAGCTGTTATAAGACACTGGGTGGAAACTCCTGTACGCTACCAGGAGCAGTTTGCTGACCAAGAGCTGGAAACACACAAACTGAACCACCTTTTATATGCTTTGCCAGGCCCTGCTACAGCAGCACTGAGCAACCAAAGATGCACCACAGAAAGCACGACTGGGGCAGGGGAGAGTGGCCAGGAGGAGGAAAACACACGGTTCCAGGTCTTGCTGGATGTTGTGCAGTTCCGTCCCGAAGATATCATTATCCAGACTTTCGAAGGCTGGCTCCTGATTAAAGCTCAACACGGACCCAGGATGGATGAACACGGTTTCATATCCAGAAGCTTTACCAGACAGTACAAATTACCTGACGGGGTGGAGAACAAAGACTTGTCTGCACTTTTCTGCCATGATGGCATTTTGGTTGTTGAAATGAAGAACTCGGTGGGAAAGAATTAGAACCTTGTCTGTTGTAATTGGTGAGATAAAATCATTCTTAATTAATATAACAAAGTAATATCATTCATGCAACGCTGTAGAGTGTGGTAAGCATGTGCCTGTATTTATATTACAGTAAAGGAAAGCCTTTGCATATGTTTTTCAGTATGCTGAGTTTATTGTTTGATGTGAATGTTAGACTGCTTGCCTCCAGCTACATATATGTTGGAAATCCAGGCTGTCTGAAGAGTAGCAAACTTAGGCTAGTCTCAGCAGGAGAAAAAAAAAAATCTATTTTATAATACATTAAAAATAAAGTATATTTTTGAATTAAGTAGGAGGACTTGTATTTCTAAAAAAATAAGCATTTGTCATACATAGTCATAAAGATTAAAGAAGCAATAGACAAGTTGTAAGTTAGTTTTCAGTTGTGGGCAATAGACAAGTTATGGAAATTTAATTTAAGTAGCAAAAAAGGTGCTTTTTAATTTTTGAAATCAAATTCTTCTCTTTGGAAAAGCATACAAACTGAAAAATACTATCAAGAAAAGAATCTCTATTTCCACAGTTCAAGCTTGTATACCAAAATAAGTCTTGAGAGACTATTTTTTAGAAGTGTATTGCATTTTTTAAACTATAAGAAAAAAGAATAATCACTGACTATATTTGCTTGAAAACACAGTAAGTAGAAATTATACTTTCTGTCAAAGACAAATTAATTTAAAAGAAAACATTTAAAGACATTTTAGAAAATTGGTTTTGTTTAACATTTTCCACTATGTTATCAACTGAAGAAAAAAATTTTTGCTTACAAATGCTCAAAAGGATCAAATTCTTCATTGTGAAACCTGGTAATAAAAAGACATTACTCTTACACAAATGCCTTTATTCTTATGCATTTTAGGTAGTCTTGTTATTCAATCAGATGAGTATTTTATTCTTCATGTTGCTTGACAATTTAGGCTGAGATTCCACAACTCTCTCTTCAAGAGCAAATTTTTCTGCCTGTGTATAGTCCCACTCTCTCCGTAAGAACATGGGCTCTACATGAATCTAATTTTAAGTGAAGAGGTTCCTTTTACTACAGACACAGGTCTAGTTTCTGTTCCACTCTTTCATGAGAGTGGCAGAGATGAAAAAATATCCACCCACTATATCTAGTATCTGGTCTTCTCAACATTAAAAAGAAATAATGCTGTGAGTTTGTAAATACTCACACATTTGAGGGGAACTGCAGTTGCAAGTTGAACTGCCTCCTTTTATGTCTACTGGAGATGGGTATGTCTGCTGTGCTATGAATAGTAAAGGAATGTGGAATGGAAAGTGCCAAGTTAAATACAGACTCTATCATATCCATCTGCTGTTTGGAGAAATCAAAAACATAATCAAATGAAACTGACTACAAATACAATTTTAAGAATACAAGAAAAATCTGATTAACAAAGCCCAGGCTCTCGCTAGCTGAAGCCAAAGAGTTCCTTAGTTTAAACGAAAGTTCTAAGCTTGTAAGTTTGCACGTGTCCATTTATTAGAGTTATTACATCATGGTTGTTTAGACTCAAAGATGTTTGAAGCAACTGATTTTAGAAAAGTGGGTACTACAATTCTGATATTTTATTTATTATTTGTGCTAAAAGTCATAAGGAATCTGTACAAGAAATGCAGAATAAAGTCTGAATTGTAAATTTCCATCATGTTCCATTATTTTATGTTTTTAATTGACCAAAAGTCAAGAGCATACTGTTTTCTAACGAACTAAACCAAATATAAAACACATGTCCCTACATTTCCACTCAACCCCATACTTTTCCCTCATATGGCCTGTGTTTGATTTGTGTATTGGTTTAAGATCTCACTAGCAAATCAGACCTCGATTTCTAGGTCAAGAATCCTCATCAGTCAGGAATCTGGTAGAAGATGTAACACGGATTGAGTTGAATTTTAGATACAGGCCTGGATTTAAACTTTACAGGTCAATTTTATAAAAGCTTAACAAGTTTAAACCCGTGGTTTCCACATCACCTTATGGCACAACTGTTGGGATGGAGTTGAGGATCAAAAGTTAGAAATCTGCTTTGGTGACTTTTGTTTACAGAGCATTTTGTAAATTTTACCACTTAAACTTACAGATTATTATAAAAAACTATTCTAGCTATGACTACAATGATATTCATAGCCCTAGAGATAAGAAAGTAGTTCTAAAAACAACATACTTTATTTAATTATTTCAAATTAGATCATGATTAAACTACTGGAAATTTGGCAAGTAATTTGACCATACAGCCAAAATCATAACATCTATTCCATATATGTTAATATTTTGGTTACACATAGGCCTGCTTATGTACACAGGCCTGCCTCCCAAAACTGGATGGAGAATGTGGCATCTGAGTGTCTTGTATTGTAGGTCTCTTTGCATCACTCTGTGCCCAAGTTTGTTATTGCTCACAACATTATCAGTCAGAAATCACTGGAACACTCTAACCCAAACATGGCAGGGATGTACCCAGCCAAATTTTACCTTCTCTTGTAGCCAGAGCTTTACAAAAGCCTACATTGGTGCTCCTTGGTGAATGGTGCCCCTGGCCTGGCACTCAAGTGCTCATGTAATAGGGACCATGGTGGAGATTGGACCTGCCACTGACTTCCTGCATTTTAGCACCAAGAACAGCACAGAGGGAGGTGCTTCTCTCCTTTTTAAGTGGCAGTTTACTGAAAGTTCTTGGAGGAACGATTTTTACATGTTTACCAGAACAGCCTTGAAGTACTGTTTCTAAATAGTCTGGAAAGAGCTGTTTTCACATATTTTAGATGATGTTTTACTTTTATAATCTGACTGAATGTGAATGTCAGAGAAAGCTGCTAATATCGTTCATGGGCAGCAGACTGAGATATTTATCAACACCAAAGATTTTAGAACAGCTACAGCTTAAGACAGATTTAAGACATGCTGATGTGGTTAAATTAGAAACTGTGAAATTGGCTGTCCATAAAATTCTGTCCCAGAATAAGCGATAAGCCTGGCAAGCCTTGCAGAGCAAGCATTACAGAGCCTTCTCAGTTCCCATCAGTGAAGGATTACCTTTGTAATTGATCAGACTGCTCCTCCAAATGGATAATTTCATGCATAAATCTAAGCACTATGAAAAATACTTTCACAGAAGAAAAGGTATCAATATCACACTAGCCTCGAAAAACAAGGTGAAAACCATACATTTCCATAAGATCCTGGTGGGCAGAAAGCCCACAAATGCCTTTGACTTGTTTCCCTTTTATAGTTTCTGCTACAACCAGGGTGTTTGAGGTCTCTCTCTGCACAGCCTTTACACTGCACTGGTGGTGCAGTGGACCAAGGCTGACATAACACCCATCAGTCACTCAGTAAATACTCAGCTTCAGCCCTGGGCATTGGAAAAGAGGAAAGGAAACCTCTGGGGTATCATGGTGGCAACATTCTCTCCAAGAGGCGTAGGTCTCATATTACTTACTTCATAGCCAGGAATCAAAACCTTCCTTTTAATCTGAGTAACGTCACAAGATTGGGTTTTAATAGAAGTAGGAATATTTCTGAAAATATTAGGTGCACCTTCTATTCAGAAGAGATGCAGATCTCTGTCTTGCTGACTACCAGAGACAACAGCTGGCTCCTATCATCTAAAGATGACATCTCAATGGCCGTGCACTGTGAACACAGGGGTTAAGTCTAAAGATTTAGACCTGTACACTACATTGGAGATATCTGAGCTGGCCCCACTCATCCTAACTCTGCAGCCAGAAGTACAGTCCCTGTATGCCAGCTCAGCTCCAGAAAGCTCAGACTGTCTACTGCTGTGCTCAGGCTGAAAAATCATCCCTTATTAAAAACACTTGGACAGACAGAGAGAGAGGAGAAACATGGCACTACAGTTCAAGACTTCCCCTCCAGGTTAGTGTTAGAGTGGAGGTCTCTTCTGCCTGTGCCATGGTGGGCTGCAGCTTCACCACAAATGCCATCAATCTCTTGAAAAAATTAGCACTCTTTATCCACATGGTAATACCACTGATACCAGCCTTTCCAGGAGGAAGTATGTCTAGCAGCTGCTAGCACAAATAGATTTGATGCAAATAGAGTCATTTACAGTTTGTCTCATGCTCCTTTGGTGTGTTTCCTGTGCTTTGTCCTGGCCCTGACCCCAGGGAGCACCACTCGTCTGTTGACAAAGCGTGCTGCTGCCCAGCTCTGCAACCTAACACAGAAGCAGCAGCAGGCAAGTCAGTCCACCAAGAGGAGACAGAAAACTGTGGGACCAGGGTAGACCTTGGCACATAGCCAGCAAGGAAGCCCACCAGAGGTGTCTCAAGCGAGGATGGGGAGCAGGAAAAACAGTCCAACTGGTTCAGATTACACACATACATATACATATATATATAGTCATGGTTTAAACTCAGCTTGCAACTAAGCCCTATCCAGCCACTTACATTCCACAGTGGGATGGGTGAAAGAATAGGAAGAGTAAAAGTAAGTGAACTCATGGGTTGAGATAGAAACAGTTTAATAGAGGAAGCAAACGCTGTGTTCACAAGGAAAGCAAAACAAGGGATTCTTTCACCACTTCCTCTGAGCAGGCAGGTGTTCAGCCATTCTCCAGGACATAAGGGCTCCATCAGATGTAATGGTGACTTGGGAAGACAAACACCATCATTCTGAACGTCCCTTCCTTCCTCCTTCTTCTCCCAGCTTCATCTGCTGAGCATGATGCCATATGGGATATTTCTGTGATCACTTAGGGTCAACTGTCCCAGCTGTGTCCCCTCCCAACTTCTTATGTCCTCCAGCCTCCTTCCTGGTGGGGTGGAATGAGAAGCAGAAAAGGCTCTAACCCTCTGTGAGCACTGCTCACTGATAGCTAAAACATCCCTGTGTTACCAACACTGTTTCCAACAAATCCAAAACACAGCCTTATACCACCTACTGTCAAGAAAATTAACTATCTCAAGCCAAAACCAGAAAATAGATATAAAGATTTCAAGACATAATATTTAGACCTCCAACGAGAAATATTTCACTTTTTGGTAAAATAAGCATTTTTAGGGGCTGATAAAGAATTTCAAAATTTCGTAAAAAAATTTAGGTTTTAATAGAAAAGGAACACATACATGGGCTGAATGCCTGGTGTGTGAGGCTGAAAGAATAAGTCATCCTACTACCTTAATTGCACATCCCTTCAATTTTCCCATTTATTAATTGTACAATCCATCGTGTAAGTGGACACAGCATGTCAGAAACTCTAAAAAGTTTTATTTGTTCTTAGGAGACTTGGATGACATGGGGATTAAAGTGGGAGTGCCCTATCTGAGCTAGCCACTCCAAAATTTCTACAGTCAAGTCCTCATCAGTTCGAACTGGTTTACTGTAAACTAGACAGCTTGTGCCACTGTCCCTCTTGCTGGTCTGCATGGTTAGTTTGATCCAGCAGGACTTCCTCACTCTCCAGCCCCCAGGGCTGGCTGGAACCTCGCTCTCTGCCACCACAGCACTGGTGCAGCGCAGAGCTCAGCTGGTGGCTTCTGCAGCTGACTCAGATGCCCACATGGGATCACATGAGTAGTTTCCTGTGTGTGTTTGACTTCACACAAGAAATAAGATGGAATTAGAGGACATTTTGGGGTCTAGTGGCAATAACTCCTTTATTATTAGCTCGACTCCGCATCTGATACTCCTCATCCATCAGACTGGATACACCAGTCTCTTCTT